GGTTTCCTTTTTGTTTCCCAGCCACATCAATACCTTTTTTTTTTTTCCTTCTAATATGTATTTTAGTAGTCTGGATTTTTTTCTTTTAAAAGAAATCTTAAGTGCTAGAAGCTAATTTTTTCTCACCTGTGGCAAAGTTTTAAATGAATTTTGGTTCCTTTTGCAGTATTATTTCCTCTCCTTTTACTGCTTCTGCTGCCGTGGACGATGAAGCGAGATAAGAAGGAGGTACAACCAGGTGAGGAACCTACTGCTGAGAAGCGATGATGTCCTCTTGGCGTGGTGAGAGAGCGACTGAGAAACAGCATCTGGTGTCGGTGACGCAAACAACAGTGAGGCGAGACCCGACCCTGGAAATCGTAAGGCGGAATGGTTGGGTTTGCTGAGAAATGGAGGTGGTTGGGGGAGATCCCACGAGTAGAGATCTGGAGGCAAAGAAACGAAGAGTGCCGCGATGCTGTGGGCACGTGGATGAGCTTTCACCACCTCCCTGGGGACACCACAGGCAGTAACGAGACTTCTTTTTTTAACAAACTACAGCAAATGCAGAGATGTTGGGGGGGGGGAAAAAAAACCACTGAGTTTTGCGTTGTAGCTAATGAGCCTCAGAACCAGAGCTGCTCGTCCAGAAGGAGCCGTGGTCTGGGGCTGCTGGAAGGAGGGTTCAATCCTGCTCTGCAGTCGCCCGTGCGTTTTCGTACCAGTGCCGGCTGTTACTGGTGGTGGTGGAATTACCTCCAGCCACCTGCTGGTCTTTTGGCTGTAATCACTATAATTCAGCTGTCCTGGAAAATTGGAAGGAATTTGTTCTCCATGTATAGATTTGTTTAAAGACATTAGTTAAAAAGTAATGTTAATAAGGAGCTGCCTCCCTGCTCTCCTCCTCGGCTCGGGGAAGTTTGCAGCAAAATGACTCGATAGTTTGTACCTGGATGTTAATCCTTTGCTATTTAAGGTATATTGTTTGTGTCCTTCTGGTTGATTTTAATTAAATATATTATAATTTTTACAGTGTTTTCTTAAAATGTGTAATAAAACCAATCTCTAGTTGCTGTTTGCATTTGGTCACAAAGTTAAAATCTATGTGTGCGTGTGCACTATGCTCTAGAAATGGGTTCTTTTCCTGGAAATGTTGGGATTCAGGCGGGAACCATAGAGCCAGTGGAAAAATTTTGGAGCGTTTGGAGGTAGAAGAACATGTACTGAATCCTGGCTCAACATCAGGTAAAAAAAAAATAAAATTAAAAAAATCAATTAAACAGCCACAAAAGTTAATGCATTTGTTGAATCACAGCAAATAAGGATTAAATAAATTAATTAAATGACCTTTAAATACGATGTTGGAGTTGTGCTGTTACTGTGACACAACGGCGAACCTAAGGTGCCCTTTCTACATTCCTGCACAAAGAGTTTTGGAAACTGAGATTGAGGAAAAAAAAGTTTTCAGGCGTCCCAGCTATGGAAGAGATGACTTGAAATGTGGGCTCACAAGTCTTGGGACTTTGGCGCTCTGAAGCCACGTTTTGCCGTGGATTTCAAAAGGAAAGTTTGCTCCCAGAAAAAAAAATAAATGAAGACAGCAGTCTCTACTGTTGCTGCATGCAGCTCTTTTATTTCCATTCGTCTTTACAGAGCCGTGAAGCATCTTCACAATAATTGTACCAAACCGCCTCCAGTCGGCCGTCTGCAGCGCGTGGCACAAAAGGAGGTCCCGGAGAGGAAAAACGGCGCTTCATCTGCTGCGGCTGATAAAAATCCATGCACCGGCTGCCCCTGAGAGATGCCGGGTCTCTCGCTCGGGGGAAATAAAAACGTCATGTTCCGTCCAGATCGAAGTAAAAAGGGGTATAACAGGAAATAAATATACTCTAATGTTTGTTTGAATATTTGATTTTCCTTTAATGCGTGATATATGGATTTAGTCCCTATTTAGTGTATGAAACCGTTAGTGGACACGTCACATGCGATGGAGCCGTTTGCTGGTAAACCTGAAAATATCGCAGCCATCCTCATTTCCGCGTTCCCCCAGGGCCTGTCACGTCTCTGCCTCGAAACACAACTGTTTCCTTTGGAAAATCGTATTTTTCTAAGTTTATTGGCAGCAGTTGGAAGCGACAGCAATTGTTCTCTCCCCGTGGAAGCGCAGGAGAGGGGCTGTGCCAGGCTGGCTCCAGGGGAGAGTCCTCCACGACAGCAGAAACAGCTCTCCTCGACGCATCGACGTTCCCAGGGCCATTACAAAAATAAAATACTTTTGTTTTTACATTAGTATTGTAACTGAGTTTAAAGAATTAGAAAAATTAAACGTTTGTTCTTAGACTTGCATTGACCACAGGTGAGTATCTACAGTATTTATTTCAACATCCCATTAGAATGTCTGCTATAAATTTACACCATAGAAAGAACGTATGCAAAACGCGTATGGTTTATACACAGAGCTTTCTTTTTTAAATACATACATTTATACATTAAACAAACAGAAGCGTTGTCAAAATACGGTAATATTGAGGCTCGTTATTTTAATAGTATCGCAAACCACGTATAGTCTATGCTGCTTTTGGTATGTGGGTTTCCTCTTATGTTAATTATCTCCTCAAATTAAGGGTCGATAAGAATTCCGGGTGCCCGGCGAGGAGGGAGAGGTACCTAAAGGTGAACTGCCGCCGCGGTGCCCGTGCAGCCCGGGGAAACCGCTGGCAGACGGACCCTTCGTTGGCCGCAGCGCTCGGCCACGCCGGGCATGGAAATAAGGGGCTGAGGAACACGGTGCTGCTCCGCGCTCACTGCGCTTACCCAGCCCCTCACCCCAGCAGCCAGGCGAATGAGAAAAGAGAAAAAAAATAATTAAAAACTTACGTTCTCAGTAGTTAAACACGTGCAGGTAATCCCATCACCCGGCACCGCTTGGGTTTGGGTTTCTTTTTGAATCGTTTTTTTTTTAACCTCTAACACTGCTTTGTTCCACTCTGCCTTGAAAGCTCAGTGGGGATTGGGAAATCATCTGTCTGAAATCCAGACAATTAAATGCGTTAACACTTGAAGAGGCGTTTCTGGAGTTATCTGAGCATCTTGAGGCTTTAAATTAATGCAGACCCAACATGTGCTTTTGTACTTCCAACCGCGCTCGCTTTTCAGCCTACAAAAACTTCTGCCTTATTTTACTTTAAATGATATTTTTGGCATGTGAAGTTACAAAGGGGAATAAATAAAACATGTATCTGCCTTAACCGAATAGATAAAAAAATTAATAATTAAAAAAACCAAAACAAAACAATGCAAAAAAGCATCATCGCCAGCTCTGTTTGTGCCGTCTCAGCGCAGCGGCGGGGCCGGGCTGGCCGGGCTCACTGCCCTCACCTGCAGTACCTCTCCCAGCTCAGGACGTTCCGTCGGCTGGCGGTGCCCAGTGCAGGTCACCCAGCGCCCCATGGCCAACCCATCAGGCAAAAATTAGCAATAACTAAAAAAGAAAAAAAAAGAAGATTGACCCCGAACCCCATCCAGGCACCGACGGTCTTTCTCAACCCCTTCTTGAGACGACGCCGGTGTCGGTGCGGGTCCTACGCCCACCCCGGGGCATCCGCCTTCCTCACACACACGCTTCTCCCCCATCGCTGCTTTTCCCACAGGACCGGCAGCAGATCCCCATGGGGACATCGCACCAACTGTTTAAAACCGCAATTTTAAACAGATTTGGTTTTGTTGTGTGGTTTTTGTTTTGTTTTTTTTTTTTTTTTTTTGTAAACAACTTTTATTGGGGGTGTCATGGGGAACGAACGGTGAATGTTAATGGCAATAAACTATTCAGCAGCAGCGAGTCCGGGGTGGCTGATGGGGCTTCATGGCAACGTTGTGCTTCACAGGCTTCTCATTAAAAAAAAAAATAAAAAAAAAATCACATTGGCGTTTTAATATATGAATGTAAAAGTATATAAAGTTAACAACTCGGTCATTCACTTGGCAATCAAGTAAAACCTTTCCACATGGACGTTGTAAAGTGTGCAAAAATAGATGGAAAATACATCTCGTGTTTCTGCTATCGAAAGATCTCTACGGGTCGGTCGGTGCAGACTGAACGCGGTCGGCCATCGTCCACAACGCCGCTCTGCACGCTG